AGCTGCGTAGTATTCCATGGTGTGCATGTCCCATAGCTTTTTATCCACTCATCTACTGATGGGCACTTGGGCTGTTTCCAGATCTTAGATATTGTAAACTGTGCTCCTATGAACATTGGGGTGCATATATTCTTTCTGATTAGTGTTTCAGGATTGTTAGGATACATTCCTAGGAGTGGAATCACTGGGTCAAAAGGCAGCTCCATTTTTAATTTTTTGAGGAACCTCCACACTGTGTTCCATAGTGGCTGCCCCAGTCTGCATCCCCACCAGCAGTGCACTAGGGTCCCCTTTCCCCACACCCTCGCCACCACGTGTCGTTTGTTGATTTGTTGATGGAGCCATTCTCACAGGTGTGAAGTGATTCCTCATTGTGGTTTTAATTTGCATCTCTGATGATGAGCGACATCGAGCATTTTCTCATGTGTCTCTTGGCCATCTGTATGTCCTCTTGGGAGAAGTGTCTATTCAGGTCTTTTGCCCATTTCTTAATTGGATTGTTTGTCTTCCTCTTGCTGAGTAATATGAGTTCTTTGTACACTTTCGAAATTAGCCCCTTATCAGATACATCTTTGGCAAATATGTTTTCTCAGACCGTGGGGTTCCTTTGTATTTTGAGGCTGTTTTCTTTTGCTGTGCAGAAGCTTTTTAGTTTGATGTAGTCCCATATGGGAGGGATCACATTACCGGACTTCAAACTGTATTACAAAGCCACAGTAATCAAAACTGCTTGATATTGGTACAACAACAAGCATATAGATCAATGGAACAGAACAGAGACCCCAGAAATAGACCCACGCCATTATGGTCAGTTAATATTTGACAAAGGAGGCAAGAGTATCCAATGGATAAAAGAAAGTCTCTTCAATAAGTGGTGCTGGGAAAATTGGACAGATACATGCAAAAAAATGAAACTAGACCACGAACTTTCACCATACACAAAAGTAAACTCAAAATGGATAAATGGATAAAAGGCTTAAATGTAAGTCACGAAACCATAAAAATCCTGGGAGAAAACATAGGCAGTGAAGTCACAGACATCCCACATAGTGGAATTTTCTGATACATCTCCTAGAGCAAGAGAAACAAAAGAAAAAATAAACATATGGAACTCTACAAACTTCTTGTTCACTCCATCTCTGTGTATCTGTCACTCAAAATACAAAAAAAAAATAAAAAAATAAATGCTAAGACCTTGTAGAAATGATCAGAGCAACAGAAAGCAAGTACATTCTGAAACCATTAGTTCTAGCCTGGCTGTTTCTGCTGCCAAAATTGTTACTTCTTCAGCAAATGTTTGCTCTGTCCAAGATATTGGCAATTCACGGTTCTTTCAGATGAAAACACACACACACACACACCCCCCAGGACTTTTTATCATAACGAGGCTGACTGGAAGCCATCCTTGCCTGGGGTGGAGGAGCGAGCCTGTCCCCGAGGACCCTTCTGGTTCCTGGCTGGGCACCCCTCTCGGGCCCCGGAGCACCCCTGCACTCCCCCTGGCCCCTCTGGCCCAGCTCCTTCTCTGCGCCTCCCAGCTTTGCCCGCTGGAGAAGCAGCAGGCCCTGCTCTGTGTGCTTTGCCTCTGCAGCTCAAACCTTTGGATGGTAACTGCCTGTAACGTCGCCGACCACATTCAGCTTATTTCCTAAACTTATCTTTCCCCTCCTGGCCCCCAGCCCTGCCCTGGTGAATTATTCCAGCTCCCAGGGTTCCCTTCAGCAGCAGCACTGGCAGACAATGACCACCAAAACAGGGACCACACTGTGAGGTAAAGCTTGCTTTGTAAATCTGTCTTCTTTAAGTTTTTCTCTTTCAGCCACAGAGAACTGTGCTCTCTGAATGATTTCTGTTTTGAACATGCTTATGATTAGAATGTTTTTGCCACGTTTCATTTTTTCCACAGGAAACTCAGCTCTTGTTTATGCTGTGCAGGATTTCTCGGGCCTCCAATGGTCACTTTCATTTTTCTGGGTCCGGTGGGACTCTTCCGAAACACGCCAGGATTGTCTTCTGGTGAATCACGGAGCTTCAGAAGGGAAAAAGGAATCCTCTCAGTCCTTACTTCTCCCCTCCCATTTCCCCTCTACCCCCACACACGTGTGTGCACACACACGTACTTTCCAGTATGTTGAATATGTTGTTTATTTATTTCAGTATCCTGGACTCGATGTGGACAAAGTAAAGCTGGACTTTGTATAGGATGGGACAAATGGAAGCAATATTCTTTTCTCAGTGAAAGAGCCATTCAGTTTGGAAGTCAGATGACTTAGTTTATCCTAAGAGGTGTATTGTGTTTCACTTTTCTTTTTTTCATTAATCTTTTTAAAAACCAAATTTTAGACATTTTCATTTTCAACCTGTGGCTTAACTTTAATAGGAAAACTTCCTGTGTCATGTAGGTTATACTATAGAACCACATAAAATTGTTACTTGATGATAGGGTTTAAAAGACTTTTTATGAACTAACTTTATATTTGAAAGTAAGTATCATTCATGGAGCATCTTCCAATGTACCTGGTTCAATGAGATTAGTCATTTTATGTTTTGTAGTCCTACTTCCTGGACCTGTCTCCCCATATAATTCTGAAATCATCTTCATCCACTAGTCACAATGAAGCAATGCTAATTCAGGACTAATCCTCCCAGGTTTCTGAATTGGTTACACCCCATCCCAGATGTGACCAGCGTGTATTCAAATCAGCTACCTTATTTTCATCTTGTTACTCATACCATTCTTCTCTGACATTTTTGCAGTGTGGAGAGCTTGTGCTTTATGTCAGGGGAAAGTTTATTTTGTCAAAGAAAAATTTCCTTATAGATTGTGAACTTCTTATTTGACTAAGATAAATCAAGAACATTTGTTGACTCTGGGTAGAGACCACCCATGGTACATTTGCACTATGACAAAGTGAGCGGAGCTGGGAAAACTGAAGTCTATTTCTGGGTTGCCACTAACTTGTTTCGTGTCTTTAAGCAGACTCTGCTTACAGTCACTATAATTGTATTCATTATGTTTGAAAAGTTGAGACAGGAAACATATAATCATTCCCAAGATGACCTTCTAAAGATAAAAAACACAATGTCTGAAAAAAATGCATTGGATGGGATTGACATCAGATTGCACATTGTAGAAGAAAAGGTTAGCAAACACAAAGGCAAAGCAATAGATGTTAACCAAATTAAAACCACAAGAAAAGGATTATTTAAAACTGAATTGGACATCAGTGAGCTGTGAACAATTTCATGTGGCCTGGAGTCCCGGAAGGAAGAGGGAAAGACAGGAAAAAAAGAAATAATGAGTGTAAACCCACATGTCTAAGAAGTTTGATAAACCTGAAGCACGATGCGTGCACACACACACGCCCGTGAAAATAACCACACCAAAGCACATCATAATTCCATTACTCAAAGTCAGTGATAAAGAAAAAGTAATCTTACAAGCAGGAAGATAAAACAGATGCATTAAGTACAGAAAAAAAAAGGTAAGAAAGAAAACAGATTTCTATAAGGAAAAATGAGGTCAACTAAAGCGTAATTATGAGTGATGGACTTATTTTGCATTAAGCCCATATACTTTTTAACATTGATGTGTGAAATGTGATTTTTAAATTCAAAATAAAATATGCAGTTCCATTTCTTTCCAGAGCTTCTACTGAAGACCTTTGTTCTGCTTGTCACTGAGCCAGGAGCTTTATACACTCAAAAATGCCCTTTGTATTTAGATCTCTGTGTGCTCAGTGTGTTAGAGGCCAATTTTACTTTGCGTCATGTTGCAGTATCTTAAGATTAACATTAGTTACTCAGCTTCTGACTTTTATGCTTTCATTTCTCCAGGATTTGATTGTCAGAAAATATTTTATTAAGAATTTGCACAATCTGGTACAAAAAATGAGTATCCCCAAAGATATCCTGAGAAAGAATTTGGAGATGGTGCATGGCTATCCCATGATCTATGCTTTTGTGGACAACTGGGAAAGGATTGAGCAGTTCCACAGCAGGCCAGATGACATTGTGATAGCCACTTACCCCAAATCAGGTGAGTTTTGTGGCCTGACAAATAGAGGTCTGACTTCAACCTTTGTTTTCTGAAAATCAACTTCTCTATAAAATCATTATCATCCTAAGTAAAATTAATATTCCTATCACTTAGTCTAGCTATCTACTTCAAGTATATTAAAATGGAAATTTGAGGCATAGAAAACTCCACAGAATTAAGTTTTTAATAGAAAGTGTTAGGATTCCAACAGGTACTTTATCCCTCAGATTTGGGTGATGGTTATAAAAACATGTTGCTTTCTGCCACAGGTACCACTTGGCTAAGTGAAATTGTGGACATGATTTTAAATGATGGAGATGTTGAAAAGTGTAAGAGAGATTTTATAACTGTGAAAGTCCCAATGTTGGAAATGGCTGTCCTTGGACTAAGAACTTCAGGTAATTTTAAACCATTTGGGAATTATAATTTTGTTATATTATTTATCTAGCATATTAATTATTGTATTTATGATTTCCACTGAAAAAATGGAGTAAATTTGGTAACATAAAGTGGAAATTTGAAAGTAATACAATAACCAAGGCATGTAGAGACACTGAAGTTTTAGTCTATGACATATTTGGGTGTGATAACAAAAAATGAATAAGTTTTGTTGTAGGAAACAATTAAAAATTTGGTCAATAACATAAGGAAAGTACCTTATCTTTTATTGACTTTTGTTGTGTAGAATTTGATGGATTAGAACAATAAGCTCCTAATTTAGGACTTTATTGTAGTTAAATAAGTAAAGAAGTACCAACATCTCTTAAAAAATAAAATTTATTATTAATACAGTTCAATTTTTATTTCTTAATTCTTTGAGTGCCTCTAAAGAATTATGTACTGTTCTATGGGCTAGATACAAAATTATTAGTAAATTAGATGTCTTAATCCCAAGGAATTTATGGTAATATAGGGACATTAAATAAGTAAATAAACTATCAATATGTGCATGTTATTGGCCTTATGTATCCAAAGAGTAAGGCTCAGTGAAAGAGAACAACAGGAGAGTTTACTTTAGATTGGATGATTAGAGACATCTCTCTTGAACTGAGACCTAAAACCATGCACATAGTTGGAGAAAGCATATTTCAGGAACATGGAGTATTAGCTACAAAGCCCTAGATGCAGAAAAGGCACTGGTGTGGTCCTGGGACTAGAAAACAACCGCAACAACCAACAACAGTGAAAGAAGGGAAGTATGAGATGCAAAGCAATTGGAGGCTAGACAGAGACAGGTCATGAGGGCTTGTACTTTTTAAGCAGCAGTGAGCTAAGAGACAATCAGTAAAGTATGGTGTCCTGTAGGCAAGTGAGAAGTGTTAGGAAATGAGGCCTGGCTCTTCCATGCTGCTGGAAACCTGGCATAAGTACAGCAGTGAAACTGTATATCAATTTAAAGAGCAGAATCCTAATTTTCTCCCCTGCTGTAGCTAGCTACTTGCACAGGCGGAGCAGGACCAGTTGGGAGCATGTCATTCCTCCTGAGTGGTGGTGTGAGGTCAGTCAGAGAGCAAATGCTAAAGCGGAACTAAAGGATTATTTTTGAACAAGCATCCAAAATGAATGTTAGAGTGAGTTTAGACTCCGGGGCTGAAGAAAAGTAGGAAATTAAAGAAGTGGTAGAATCAAAGTAATCAGGGATATGGGAGGGGGATTATTTGTGGGAGACAGGAGTTGGAGGTGGTTAGTGAGGCTGCGAGCATTGCTGGAGAGTGAGTAGGTGAGGCTCACCAGGTAAAGGAAGACAAGTTGGCACTCAGATTTACTATGGGTCCTGAATGTGAATACGTGTGGTGTCGTTACATGTTCCCAACATTTATATTTCCCCATGTAAAGGGTTCCTTTAAAGGATCTCAATGGCAAAACAATGACAAGACAGAAGAAAGAGGTTGAGAAATCTTTCAGAGAAGCTGAGGGAGGGAAAGGGAATAATGTGAGGAAAGTGTCAGGAAAGAAACAGACGTAAGAGTTCATATGATGGCACTGAGGAATAGTGAGCTGTGGAAGAGTATGGTCTGTGCTTTCTACATGCTGAGTAAAGAGACTGTGACTACCAGGTCAGTAGAAGCATAATGAAATACCTTGTGGAATTTTATAGGTGTGTGATTAATTTTTTCATATAAAATTCAGGATACCCAATTAAATTTGAAATTCAGGTATCTATTTTATTTAATATAAGTATATTCCAAATATTACATGCAACATACTTATACCAAAAAGTATCTGTTGTTAATCTGAAATTCAAATTTAACAGGAATTTTTGCATCTTTATTTTCTAAGTCCGCCAACCCTGCCCGCATTGATCTTAAGAAGTTCTTAATACAACTGTGTGTTATATAATGCTCTCTACAGAGCATTTGTTGGTGAACAAAACAAATGCTACCCCTGTGTGTTTGGGGGTAGGGACATGGAAGAAGCATGGGAACTGATAACAAATAGGTAAATGAATGATGAAATTAAGTGCTATGTAGAATGTTATAAAGGGATGTTTTACTAGAAAGACTGAGTGGTTTTTTTAGTATCTGCAATAAAATTTGGTAAGCTGTTGAAGCATAGGGTTGTTTTGAATGAGTGAGTCAGATAAAATTTGGGGCAGGTGTGTCTTCATATGCAAAAGATGGGAAGATAATGTAGAATTAGCACGTAATCTAGAGGTTAGACTGGATATAAGTAATATTGTGAAATATATGTAGAGGACTTTAATATTTTTTGGATGTGACACCTGAAAGAGGAGAGAACAAGAAATGAGATCTTGGTGACTCTAGGAGATGACACCTTTAACAGCTGTATCTGGGGTGCGATAAAGGCCACTAGCCCATTAAGAGAATAGTGAGTGAAAGGGGTTAGCATAGCTCTTCCCAGCCTACGTCACAAATTCTCTGAGCATGCCTTTACTCCACAAGTGCCTTCAGACTGGCCAAGTCACTTATGTAGGGAGATCCTTCTGGCTCTAAACATAGAAAATAAATGAATGCTTTCTGCCTCAGGGAAGTTTATATATCCCTGATCCAAAGACTTAATGTGAAACCAAGTTCTACCACATAGTAGCTGTATGACTTTGGAGAGTTCAACTAATACCTTAAAGTTACACAACATTTTCATTTTGCATTATACATATGACACATAAAGGAAATAATGAAAAGGCAGGAAAAAACAGCTGATGCTACACAAAAATGACATCATCTATACTATAATAGCTGATGCAAAACAATAGTTGATGTGAGATTTACTAGATATCAATAACTCTTTGACAAAGAAAAAACATTTTTATAATTATTTATGATAGGCACAGACATGATAAAACCAAAGTGCTAAGGTTGCTATTATTACTCCTCATTTCGGAGGTAAAGAAAGTGAAATATAGAAACTGGGATACTTTCAAATGTCTTGCAGTGAGTAAGCGATAGAGTTAGAATTTGAATCCAAGAAGGCTAACCTCATAACCTATGCCCTTAATCATCATATAATATTGCCTCTTACAATCCAGGTAAATAATGCCTATGATTAGTTCAAAATTTAGTAGCATTATATACTGTTCAAAAATATTCTGAAAGGTTGGTTGAGAAAATTAGGAAATGCAGGCTCCTTGGAGACTCTAATATCTCTGTATACCAAACTGAATGTTCCCAGGTGTAGAACAATTAGAGAAGAATCCATCACCCCGGCTTGTGAAGACACATCTACCAATTGATCTTCTTCCTAAGTCTTTTTGGAAGAACAACTGCAAGGTACACTCTAGACTGCCACTCAATTTTTTAATGTGACCATAATCCCTTCACTCACTCACATAGTAAATAATTGCTCGGGTGTTTTATTTATTTGTTACCTTGAGAGCTGAGCTATATAAGAAAGTATTTCCATGAAAGTGTTTGAATTTTTTTTTTATGCTCACCTTGAGGATATGTTTTTATTGATTTAAGAGAGAGGATGAGAGAGAGAAACATCGACCAATTGCCTACTGTACTTACCCCAATTGGGGATCTAACCCTCAATGTAGGTATGTGCCCTGACAAGGAATTGAACTCGCAAAATTTTGGTGTATGGGCCGACAAATCAGTTGAGCCACCCAGCCAGGGCTCAATTATTTTAGTCTAATCCTACATATTAAAAATTTCCAGTTATGTAGCAACAGGATTCCCATCTCAGTACAAGTCCCTGGATATTTTGATCTTCTTTGAAAATTCAACATAAGGAAGTCAGTTCTTATTTGATTGGTAAAATTCTCCAGTGAAACATTTATGACTTTTGGAGAAATTTGCTTTTGGAGAAATTTGAAATTCATTTTCTTCAGTAATTGTGGGGCTTTTCAGATTATCTATATCATCTCAGCTGACATTTGCTAGTTTGTGATGTGTGAGGAATTCTCAGTTGTTGAATTTTATAACGAAAAGCTATTCATAATATTCCCTTCTTATTCTTTTTTTTTAACAGACTTTATTTTTTACAGCAATTTTATTTGTTGTTAGGCCAATTTTAGGTTCACAGCAAAACTGAGTGGAAGTCAAAGCGATTTCCCATACATCCCTTGCCCTCACACATGTTTAGATTCTCCACTGTCAGCATCTCCCACCAGAGTGGTACATTTGTTACCGTTGATGAACTTACATTGATACACATTATCACCCAAAGCCCATAATTTACCTCAGGATCCATTCTTGGTGTTGTACATTCTATGGGTTTGGATAAATGTATTTGTCATGATATATATGTGTGCGTATATATATATATTATCATATCATATCATATCATATCATATCATATCATATCATACAGTATAGTTTTAGTGACCTAAAAAATCTCTGTGCTCCATCTATTTATTCCCCCCTCTCCCTCAACCCTGGAAACCACTGCTCTGTCTCTATAGTTCTGCCTTCTCCAGAATATTGTATAATTGGAATCATACAGTATGTAGCCTTTACAGATTATATTCTTTCACTTGGTATCATGCATTTAAGATTCTTCTATGTCTTTTCATGGCTTGATAGCTCATTTCTTTTTACTGTTTTTTTAGTTTCTTTTCTGTCTGGAGGTGCCACAGTTTGCTTGTACACTCACCTACTGAAGGACATATTGGTGGCTTCCAAGTTTTGGCAATTATGAATCAAGCTACTACAAACAACCATGCGCAGGTTTTTCTGTGTACTTTATTTTCCAACTCCTTTGGGTAAATTCCAAGTAGTGAAACTGCTGAATTGAATGGTAGGAGTATGTTTAGTTGTGTGCGTTTTTAATTTTTTAATTGATTTTTAGAGATTTCATGGATTTCAAATATGTTACTTTCTTTGCTTGTATGTTAATTTTTTCTTAAAAAACACACACACATCCATTTGATTTCTTCCCCTCCTCCGACAGATGATTTATCTGGCTCGAAATGCCAAGGATGTCGCAGTCTCATATTACCACTTTGACTTAATGAATAATTTGCAACCTCCTCCTGGCACCTGGGAAGAATATCTGGAGAGATTCATGGCTGGAAATGGTAGGTAGGCCTTGGCCTAAAATTGATAAGTAATGTTTTTAACTTTTAATAACACTATTAACTATTGCTGGTATGAATTTTCCTTTCATAACATTTATTTTTCCCAAGTCAGTAACAAGTACATTCAAATACCATTTAAAAATTAAATCAAATATGTCTAATATTTTGCTATGGTATTTAATATATAAACCTGGTATTAAACACTGGCTTAATGAAAATATTCTCTAAGCTCTTTTCAGTTGCTAGAAATCCATTTTCACTTTCTGCTCACAGTAGAAATTGCTTACCTTGCCGAAACCATTAGTATAATTTGTTGTACACATACTTATAGTACTTAAATAAATAATTTATATAGTACTTCATAAAAGAATAGTTTTCTTCCATGTGAGGCTAAGTATAACCTAGTGGAGATCAATGTATTTTCAATTAAAGTGTTTCCTTGTACATAATATTTTTAAATCTGATTGTTTGTAAATTCATATTTGGTCTATATATATATATATAATTTAAATTGGCCTTATATTCTCAGTCCCCTTGATTATTAATGCCACAGAATGTTTGAACATTGACTTATTTTTCAGAAACAAATCTTTAATTTTATGAATGCTTATGGAAATAGACTTTTTCTCTGATTTTAGTGGCCTATGGTTCCTGGTTTAATCATGTTAAGAGCTGGTGGAAGAAAAAAGAAGAACACCCAATACTTTTCTTGCTCTATGAAGATATGAAAGAGGTAAAATGATAGAAATTCATTCTGGGTAATTCCTCATTACATCCTGGGGTAAAAAGATTAACATAAAATTTTCAGCTTAATCTATGGAGTCCAAAATGATATAATTCTTCATGCCTACTTCCCCAAATCTTAAGATCATTAATGACTTTCTAACTGTAAAACCTATAACATTTTTATTCCTCTTACCCCTCTTAACCATTGTATTTATTGTGAGCACCTTTTCTTTCTGAAATTCTCTCCTCCATTTAACAGGTTATCATACTCTCACAGCTTTTCAGTGGATCTTTATCTATCACTTGGTCGCTTCTCTTTTTAAGCTGTTTACTATATTTTGGTGCTCATGTCCATGCCCACTATTGCCAAAACTATTTATGTGCTGTTGATGCCTTCAAAACTTTAATTTCTACACTGAATTCAAACCCATGCTTTTATTTAAATGACCCTCAAATTTAACATGTTCAAAACTAAACTAATCTTGCTTCTCTCTCTCCACCAGGTAATCCTTTTCTTCTTTTATTCTCTCCTTTGATTAATGATGTTATATGTCCATTCAGTTTTCAAAGCTTGAAATTAAATTGTCCTCATTAGTTTCCCTTTAGTGAATATAGTTCAACTATGTCTTGAACATCCCATTGGTTCACATGCCCTATTACATTCTTCAAATGTGCCCCCCTCCTTTATTTGCTTACTACCTCCCTCTTAGCCAGGGACTCATAAACATCTTGTCTCCTGTATGAACTGGCATTAGTTCAAATACTACTGCCAGATCCCAGGCCTATTCTGGAGCTCTTTCACTTAAATTAGGCAAATGGGAGGAGTGTGTGTGCCCACACACGGGAAATATATGGAAACCAAGCTTTTCTAGTTCTACGAGCCTGGGCATACAAATGAGAATACTTGTTAGACTTTCAGCTCATGATGGAAGGTGCCATACCTACCGTTCTTTTGTTGTTGTTAACCCTCCTCACCTGAGGATTTCCTAATTTTTAGAAAGAGTGAAAGGAAGGGAAGGAAGGAGGGAGAAAGAGAGAGAGAGATCGATTTGCTGCCTCCCTCACGTGCCCTGACTGGACCAGAATCGAACCCGTGACCCTTCAGTGTGTGGCCGATGCTCTAACCACGGAGCAACACCAGCCAAGGCGCATATCTACCTTTCTTGTGACTGCATTCGCAGTACCTAATTTAGCACCTACTGCATAAATAAGGGCTCAATGGTCATTTGTTGTGTTAATAATTGATTGCTTGAATTAATGAATAAATAGATGAGTGAGCAGTAAAACAAACATTTTAGTGACTTTCTTACTTTGCCTACCAGAAATCATGCCTCAGGTAAAATCTCCCTTGCTCCACATATTTCTAATTAACCCCCAGATTATTTCTCACATCTTATCAAAAAGAGTCCTCTGCGTTTTTCTGCTCTGCACAGGCTCCCACCCTCTGTCATACTTGTTTGCAGCCCATAGAGAACCTGTGCTCTAAAACTTACCAATGTTTGAGTCAATTAATGTCAATTTGGTGGCATACACAGCTAAAGTGGTTTTGGTTAATATGATTAAATTACATATTCTTTATAAGAGAGAAAAATGTTCTTCTGTTCCAAGTATCTCTCTTCCTGTAAACGTAAATAACACTAGCTTTCTGAAAATAGAAATTTTATCTTCTTAATATAGTTTCTTTTCTCCATAGAATGGAGAAATACGTTTTCTGACCTGGCACGGTATCCAGATTCTGAGTCACACATATGCTGTATCCCACATGACTCTCTTGTGTCAGCCTCTCCTCTTTACTGAGCTAACATGCCTTATTCAAATCAACTCATTTAAATTGATCTACAGTGTGTTTTAATCAGCTTTATAAACATATCCAGGTACTTTGTATCCCATTCAAATCTTCTATATAGATTATAATTAAAAGGCAATGTTTTTCTACTGCCATACAGATATTCTTACACAATGTTATATAAAGAGGTTTAATATAATAATATTAGAGCAAAATTATAATTACATATCAAGAATAAAATTCAGAGAGAAGCCTAGTAATTTACATCAGGTTTATTAGTGCCTTCATAAATTCTCAATAAATGAGTTGAAAGAGAAATGCAGCAGAGGAAGACTCGATAGGAGCCAGCACTCTGCACTTGAACTTGTGCTGGTTTATACAGTAACATCATCACTGATACTTTGGCTGTGGCCAGGTTATTCTCCAAACAGTTTGAGTCCCTAACAGAAATTGCTCTCTATTTGCCTGTCCATCTATGTGTTTTCTTAGTACTACGACTAGCTTTTCTTTTGGCTTTTTCTCCACCATCATCATTTCTGACTTCTAATTTATTCTAAGCATTGCCACCCCTTAATTAGTCATCTCACTTTTTCCTCATCAAGCTGTCACACATAAAATATTACCATAATTTCCTTTCTAGGGAACTCCCTGCCAAAACATATACGTGTGTATACATGCACCTGCATGTTCGTGCACACACACTCAGAGTTAATAAGACATGTTATTAAAAGCTGTTTCTTTCCTTTGGCGTTACAGATACAGTCCAAATCCTTCAATGGGACATCCAAGGTTGTTCTCAATTTAAACCCAGTTTATCTTTCCAGTTTTATAGCTTCTATCACTCCTACGAACAACTTACATCTCACTCTGACCATTTTGCTATTTTTCTCCCTTGAACATACTATGAGACACTAATACTTCTAAGAGTTGTAACTTTTTTATTAATGGAAATTCATTGTCCAACACCTCAAAAGACTATACACATCATGGTAAATTCTGACTCATCTTTTTAAACTCAGCTTAGATATCAACTCTTCGAAATCTTTCTAGACATCTCCATGCAGATTTTAGTTTGGCTTCCTAAAATGTTACAAATATTAAGTTTGTCTCATTAAAATCTGGAAAATGATCCATTTCTCAGATTTTGTTCTTTTTATCCTCAATGGTTAATGAATAATTTAGGTCTCGATATCTTTGCTCATCTATTAGAGTTTATTTTTAATAACCTATGTTTAAGCAAGGCCAAGTCAGTGTTTATACTTGATGTTGTCCATGAATTTATTATTTTTGTCTTTAAATATTGTTACTAAAAACAAAAAAGAAATTTTGATTAAATGCAGAAAAAAAGAGATGGAAAGAATAAAAAGATATTGGGTCTCTAAAACATGCACAGTTCAAATCTGATTACAAGTCAAGCTTAAAATAGCCCTTAAGATTATTTTCTATAAGTATTGTTAATATTTAGCTCAAGATTTGTTCTTATTGTACTTTAAATGTAAATTAAAAGATTTATAACAAATAAAACATTTCTACTTTATTTTTGCTAAATATAAATTATTGGTTTTTTCATTTTTATAATTAATTGTTTAAAATTATTAATGACAACCAAATATAGATTTAATATTCAAAATAAACATTTATTATAACAGATTATAAATATTATCATTTTTTACATTATGTTTACCACTTTCTTGGGTATGTCTCCTTCCCCACTAATAGAATCCAATGCAGGAAATTAAGAAGGTTGCTAGATTCCTAGAAAAAAACCTAAACGATGAGATCTTGAATAAGATCATCCATCACACCTCATTTGGAATGATGAAGGACAACCCTCTGGTGAATTACACACACCTACCAAGTACAGTGATGGATCACAGCAAATCTCCTTTTATGCGCAAAGGTGAATATTTTTCTGAGTTTAATTTCCCCTTTTACTTTCTTATACATTACTCTGACAGGAGGATTAGCTTTGTCATCTCTTCCAAATTACTTAGCCAGTTTGGGCACCAGTTTCCTCACCTGTAAAATAAGCACGCTAAAAATACTAACCACAAAAATGTTGCTAAAATCAGATTAGCAACTGTTAAAGGAAATAATGCATGTAAACCTATTGTCAGAATACCTTGAGTATTTGATACATAGCTCTCCTCTAATTTACTACTCTGCTAAATGGGACTGGTCTTGTCAATTCTGATATGAGTCATTCCAAATGTGTTGTATCTAAATCCTCAATCTTTGTCTAAATTGGCATAGGCCTCTTTCTGCTCAGCGATAAACTGTCACTCAGTACAGTACCATATTCTTTAAAGTCCTCATATTATTTAGAAAATAGTGGTCACTTTGTTCAAAAGGACTCACCAGAGAAAGGACTTTTTTTAATCCTATGGAAGTTTTTTGCTTCCAAAAAATATTGTCTGAATTATAGGACACATGGAATCTAAATTTAACTTGGGAAGATGACAGTAGAGGACTATGGCATTCATTGTTGAAATACAGCTTTACTTCCGTGTCGCTTTTTGTATATGATTTGTGTTAAAATGTTTTATTAATGATAAAAATAATGCATTTAAAAAATTATTAACCTAAACAAATTTGAGAAATTATTCACCTAATAATGCTACCCTCTGTTTTCAATATTCTTTATTGAATTGCTGCACTGGGAGGTAAATATAACCCTAGGAATGTATTGTGTATAGAAGTGTGTAGAAGAAAACCCTTAATTTTGAAAGAGTTATATGGTTAAATTTTTTATAAAACATTTTTCTCCATAACTTATTAAAATAGAAAATAGTTTCAGTGTTTTAAAATTGTTTTTCATTTTCAAAAACACTACATTTAACTTTTCAAAAATAACCTCTAGTATAAGAGGGCAAAGCAAATTTTTCATTGTAAATGGTGCATTGTAAGTTTGAAAAAACCCCACTAATAATACATACATATTTTCTAGTGGAAGACTCAGAAGATTATCTTTCTAAAACAAGGCACATTTTTATCATGTCAGGTCATTGACTGAAACTTCTAGGAGAGATTTATCCCCAGTCATATGAAAATTGATACCATTTTATGCATAGGGTATAGAGGTAGAGGAGATAAGCTCAGTATCTGAATTATATGGTTTCTCCAACTTCAACCTGAAAGAGTGCACACTGGCCTAATAAGAGACACAGTTTATACATGGGCTCTGGAACTGGTAAAGAACATGTCCTTTGTGGTTAGACTGGTCTGGAATTTATCCGGACTATGCCACTTGCTGAATTTATGACTTTGAATACATAAATTAATCTGCCAAAACTCTGGTTACATCACTGAAAGTATGGAGAAAGTACTAATATCTATGGCACATGTTTTTGGGGAAGATTATGGTAAATGATATGAAGCATTTGGAATATTTTTCTGATAGTAAATAATACATAAAAAAGTAGCCAGTCTTATTAAACAGTTCAAGATTCCTCTATTTATTCATTCATGCATTCAATAAACATTTAAAGAATACACATTCATTCATTAATTTACATATAGGAAAAACTCTTCATGAGCATCTATATGTGGCACATATTCTCCAGAATATGCAAGGCTGAATGGCACATGCGTCTGCCTCAGGAGGCTCATAATGCAACGCAAGAGGCGCTTGTAAACGGACGCTGAGGAGGCCTCAAAGTGAAATGACCAAAGGGCTAGTCAACTCTTGAAGGATGCTTTGTTGGATAAATCAATGTTATAATTTAGTGACACAGTAGTAAAGGTAGTAGGCACAGGATAGATGATGTCCAATATTTATATCTGTGCCCCAAATTGCAACAAAACAGAAAAATCGGCTTTGGCCAGCATTTATTGTATCAAAAATTTTTTTATTCTTTCATTTTTCTTATAAAGCAAATGTGTTTGTGTGTGTTAATTTATATTCAGAACAGACAATCATTCATTAGAGTACTTTAAATGTGACTCTTTACTGTTAAAGCTGTGCTCTCTGTTTTTAATGACATCGTCATAGATGTACTATCCTGAATATACACTCCCCTCACGTTCCTAAGAGCTCTTGCCATCAGGTGAACATAGAACAAAGTATAATAACCAAGGAAACAAGCTGTCTAAGGGGTGCCTTTTATTAAAAGGGTTTGAAATTTTTATCAAACCATCACAAGTTAATATAGATTGCAAGTCAATAGGATATATTTAATATTTCATAACAGGGTAAAGTAAATATTTTCCTCCAAGCACATTGGCAGCACATTAAAATTTATTTTTAAAATAAGTATTTAATAAGCATCCAAGATGAAGAAATTAAATAAATTTATATGACAAAAGTTTACTTTTGTAAAGATCATTCAGGGATGTTATGTTTCTTGCTGTTCTTCTCATCTAAATGCAAATATAAGTCTAATGAACTCAGAAATAACAAGTATCCTACAACTATCATACCACCCTCATGTGTGTATCCTGGGAACTGATTCTAATCAGCTTTTTATTTTATGGCTTGTTTGTGCTGATGAACACTCCTTTGTACAGTTTCCAAAAGTAACTCATGAAATAAAATATGCCCCGACCAGTGTCCAGTTGTAACCCCATGACCCAGGAAAAATTAGAAACTCTAAAAGAATTTCTTTTAGGAAACTATGCATTGTACAGCCCATAAATTTGGACAAGAAAATTAACCCTTCTCAGTATGTGTCTTTAAATGTCAAACTCTATAGTTATACGCCACATTTTAGATGGGAGGAATTACCAGTACAACAGAAATGACATTTTAAAGTATTCAAATACAAGGGAAGTCTTTCTTTAACTTTTCTAAGGCTTTCTTTTGATATATGTTAGCTTTTCCTTCATAATGGAAATATTTTATTTCTTCATGTATTTGTATATCTTATTTTTAGGGATTGTAGGTGACTGGAAGAATTACTTCACAATGGCCCAAAATGAGAAATTCGACGTTCTTTATAAGAAGGAAATGGCTGGAAGTGCCCTTCAGTTCCCCACAGAGTTTTGAAGAGCCTAAGCTGCAAATCTGAAAGAACTGACCTGTAATTTGTTGAAACAGGGGCAGTTATGACTTGACTTGGGCAATCAAATGGGTTTTTAAAGGAACAAATGTGCTTTTAAAACTTTGATTTTTCAGTGTCATTAATCAATTCCCAGTTTTGCTCCTTACTCAGGCTGCCAAATTCTGTAAAGTTAGGACCAATCATTAGTTTTTTGTAGAATATTCTTGCCTTTTCCTAGGCTAGCTAGCACTGTCAAGAAAGTATTTATCCTACCCAATCCCCATATATTTTGGCTTAAAATTAAGTTTCCCTCCCTATTAACATGGCCCAAGAAATGTTGTTTGCACACTGACACCATACTTCCTAGCTCTGCCCCAGTTTCCCTTTGCTGAAAACAAATCTGGACACACTGTTCCACTGCTGTCTTCTGGGTTTCAAGTTGTTCCCTGAGTCATAGCTCAAGACCTTGCAGTGTCTCTATTTTGATAACATGCTTCATGTCCCAAATTATGTGGTTTGGATTTTGGAAATGTTTCTATCTCTAACGTGAGTATCCAAATTCCTAATTTCTGAGTATCTAATTTCTGAGTTTGCAAAGGTTAAAGGTCAACATTAGTCCCTGGTGGGCTCTTCCCTGGGAACTGGAGCTCTACTCTGAGAACCGGACTGAGGGCTGGAACCTGTTTCCTGGGTAGAGTCCTGCCCATATCTTACCAGCCTCTTCTGAACTCCTGAGAATTGCTTATTGTTGTGCTCTGGTCTCCATTTGGGAACTTCAGTTTATTTCCTCTTGTGTCTGAACAGGTTTGGATCCTTTAATAGCACCTTCGGTACCCCAGACAAGATCATAGCTGAGGCTAAAATTTCCCAATCTAGTGTCTAAGGGATGCTCGCTTGGCTGAATCTCCACTATGCCCTCCATATGCAATGTCCATTCTATCCACTATCTCACACTATGCCTCTCAGCTTGGCTTCTTCAATATGTTAAGTCCAGCTTTGCCTTGGAGGTAATTATTTCTATCCCCCTGTGCAGCAAAACCTTTTGCCTTGCCCTAGCTGGCTTGCTCAGTGGTTAGAGAGTCGGCCTGAAGGGTCCCAGGTTTGATTCCCATCAGGGGTACATACCTCAGTTGCAGGCTCCATCCCTGGCCTCCATCAGGGTGCAGGAGGCAACCAATCGATGTGTGTTTCTCTCTCCTCCCTCCTCTTTTTTCCTCCCTTCCACTCTCTCTGAAAATCAATGGATAGGAAAAAGTATCCTCTGGTGAGGGTTAAAAAAAAATCTTTTGCCTGCAGGTCATATCTGTATGTGCCAAGTTAAATGCTAAACCAAGTTCCCAAACTCAAGCATGGTCCAAATGCCCTGGGCCCTCACTTGTTCTGGGGAGAAGTTCTGACACATGACAGACCACCTGAGCCACAACTGAGGTGGCTACGATCACTTGGGTTACCATATTTTGCCTTCGTAAGCGAATCTCTGCTGTCAGCCCCTGCACCTGGAATTGCTCCTCAAGCTGGTAACTTCTCTTTCCCAGACTCAGCAGAGGATTGATCTAATGCCAACTGCAAACGTCCTAGGAAATTTGATACAGGCAGTGATATAGCTATGATTCTGAAGATAGTTATTTTGACATTTATGACTTATCATATGTATTATAAATTATTTCTGGGAATGAAATTTGCGTGTATGTTTCTTAGAAACATGTTTAGTTAACCTTGAATAACTAAGGGTATTGTGGACCAGTTCCAACTTTCTAGAATACTCTTGACAACAAAAAAGTAAAGGCAATCATGTATCTATTCACTTTATTATCTTAGTAATAAGTTAATGTGGTATGGACTTCTGATGCTATGGTCGCTTTTTGAAAAAAAATTAAGTGTCTTTGAGCTAGCCTTTAATCTGTGTAATAGACTGGCTGCAGTAACTGCCTTCACTAGCAGGATTAAATAATTTCCACTTTTCCTAGCTTCCCTTTGTGGAAATATGTCTCTGTAACTGGACTTTAGTCAAAAAATTTGAGTGAGCTTTAGCTATGCCCCAGGTAGTTTTCTAGGCACTGGAGATAAGAGTGGAGAAAACAATAGAATTTAGATCGTCCTTGATCTTTCTTACAGGTCAATGCTTCTTATCCATTTTTTAGTCACTGATTCAAATGGCAACACCCTGGTTCACCTGCTCCTCGGTGTAAGCTCCTCACCACACATTAGCACACGCCCTAGAATTCCAGCTTTAAAAGTACCGAATATCTTTTGAAATTATTTAGAGAACTGCCACCAAAGTGACTTTCCCGAAACAATGAATTTATCATTATTATTCCTTTTCAGCAATCATTGGTATTATCTTCAAACAAAACCACTTAGATTAATCTCATTCAATTTTTCTCTAACCATAGCAAGTGATGTAAAGACAGGGATAGCAAATACCCTCATCCATGACGCCTCATTAATCAAGTCAAGGAATTGTTTTTTAAGAGGCCAACGTAGGGCTTAAAAAATATTTTCATCATGACATTCAAAGCAAGTACTGGAACTTGTTTAGAGTACTTATTGTAATAGGTGCCTATTGTGAATCTTTGTCATTATTGATAAAAGGGAAAGAGCCAAAAAGATTCCCAAAGGAACAGTATCTTGGATTGTCCTTTAGTGAGATGCTTAAACTTCAGGAAACTGAGTAAATAAGGTTTTAGTTTTCTCATCTATAAAATTAAATAATTGGTTTGTGTTTCTTCCACATTCTAAAATTCTCTGGCTGTATTTGCTTTATGTGTCCAGACAGTAGGAATTAAACTGTTTTCACACGTATAAACACGTACCCATGTGTATATGCAAATACTTTTATACATGTACATATGTATACATATCTCATGGTTCTGTTTCTTTGATGAATAGAGTACATGTTCTAAACTTTATTGCTATTCTATGTTTTCACAAACGTTTTGGACCAAGTCATTTGATCATTCAAAGTTATTGTATAAGTATTGTGAACTTCCAATGGGTTAGAAGTATTTAAAGCTATAAGATTCTTCCACATAAACTCTTCTATCAGGTTGTATGAAACAGTATCACAAAGCATTCAACCTTATATGCCAACATCTATTAGCAAGGAGGCCAACATATAGCCACATCTCCTTGTTTTCTGCCCTTTTAAGCACTCTAAAATACTTGTCATGAAAGATGCTCCTGAGTGAAATGGAAAACTGTACTTAGCAATAGTGGGAATCAGGTGACCAGGTCAAAATTACAGTGCTAGTGCATCATTCTAATTGGTGATCTTAAAGTTTAGGTTGTAGTGCCTTTAAAAGAATGGTAAAATGACTTTACCAAGACTTATCATGTAATCTTTAATTACTAATGTTACATTTTTACGTAAAGCAAATATTTTAACCTGATAAGCATTTCAAAAGTTGGAAAAATTAAAGTGCCATTAATTAATATATACTATTTCCAATTCATTATTTCTGACAAAAGTTTTTTGTTTTTTTTTATTGTGTGCTTTAAATACCTTTTCTTTAAAACTTTGGAATTTATAATAGCATACTCAATCTGCCATTTACACTTATTGATAATGTCAGTCCATGCTATTACATAAGTTAAATCAGATTTATTTTTATTAGCATTTTGTTATTTCACAGGCAATGGAGCACATTCAAGTAAATACAGACAAGAGGTAGGATTCCACAATATTAATAATCCATCTTCAATATCATAGCTTCTCCTTCCCAGATCTTGCATAATCATAAACCAATTGCCTTAACACTTTTTAGATAACTTGAAGAAAGTATGCAGTGCTCTGGAGTTCTAATGATAGTGTATTTGCCAGCATTAAACATTTTTTTTCTATGTTTCTTTTTTTTTTTAAGTTATCTTTATTGTTGAAAGTATTACAGATATTCCCGTTTTCCCCCATTGATCCCATCCACCCCACATCCACACACCCCCAAGCCTTCACCACATTATTGTCTGTGTCCATGGGTTATGCATATAAATTCTTTGGTTAATCTCTCCCCACCTACTCCCCCACCCCCGACTTCCCACTGAGATTCATCAGTCTGTTCCATGCTTCTGTGTCTCTGGATCTATTTTGTTCCTCAGTCTATTTTGTTTATTAGATTCCACTTATGAGTGAGATCTTGTAAAACTGAATCAGGAGGAATCAGAAAACCTAAATAGGCTAGTAGCAATTGATGAAATTGAAGCAGCAATAAAAAAAATTCCCAGCAAACAAAAGCCCTGGTTCGGGCAGCTTCACAAGGGAGCTTTGTAATTCTTTAAGTTGTAGGGTTAGATAATTTACTAAAAATTTTTCTTGCCTTTTGAGGTAGGCCTGTAGTGCTATTAACTTCCCTCTTAGGACTCCTTTCACTGTGTCCCATAGATTTGGGGTTGTTGTATGTTCATTTTCATTTGTTTCCAGGAAGTTTTTGATTTCTTTCTTGATGTCTTTGGTAACCTATTCATTGTTTAAAAACATGCTTTTCAGTTTCCATGTGTTTAAATGTCTTTTAGTGCTTTTATTGTAGTTGATTTCTAATTTCATGCCATCGTGATCCGAGAAGATGCTTGATATGATTTCAGTCTTCTTGAACTTGTAGAGACTTGTTTCGTGTCCTAACATGTGGTTTATCTTTGAGAATGACCCATGTGCATTTGAAAGGAATGTATATTCCATAGCTTTGGGGTGAAGTGTTCTGTAAATATCAATTAAATCCATGTGATCTAGTGTGTTATTTAGAGTCGCCATTTCTGTGTTGACTTTTTGTCTGGAAGATCTATCCAATGAAGTCAGTGGGGTGTTAAAGTCCATGACTATGACTCTATTGCTGTTGATCTCTCCCTTAAAGTACTGAACATTATTATTGATAGGTCCTTATTTATTTACATTTTAATTCTTTATGCCTATATTTCTCTCTCTATTTCTTCTTCTTATTACAGAAGTCCTTTTAACATTTCCTGCAATGCTGGTTTGGGGATGATAAACTCCTTTAGCCTTCTTTTGTCTGGGAAGCTCTTTATTTTACTCTCTATTTTGAATGATAGCCTTGCTGGATAGAGTAGTCTTGGTTTCAGATCCATGTTTTGCATTACCTTGAATGCTTCATGCCATTCCCTTCTGTCCTGTAGTGTTTCCTATGAGAAGTCAGCTGACAGACTTTTGGGAGCTCCTTTGTAGGTAACAGATTGCTTTTCTCTAGCTTCCTTTAATATTCTCTCTATGTCTTGAATTTTTGGCATTTTAATTATG